TTTTTTTTTTTTTTTCTTGAAACAGAGTCTTGCTCTGTTTCCCAGGCTGGAGTGCAATGGCATGATCTTGGCTCACTACAACCGCTGCCTTCCAGGTTCAAGTGATTCTCCTGCCTCAGCCTCCTGAGTAGCTGGGACTACATGCGTGCACCACCATGTCCGGCTAATTTTTGTAATTTCAGTAGAGACGGGGTTTTGCCATGTTGGCCAGGCTGGTCTCGAACTCCTGACCTCAGGTGATCCACCAGCCTCAGCCTCCCAAAGTGCTGGGATTACAGTCGAGAGCCACCACACCCGGCCCCAACTGCTCCTTTTAAACCATAATTTGTACATGTTCTTCTTTAGAAAGCAAAACAAAAGAAAGACCCTGCCCCTTTAAGATTTATGTCATCAGCCACACCACTGGCCCCATCTTCAGACTGTTACCTATGCACTTCTAATCGGCCTTCACCTAACAGTCTTCCCTCCATCTCGGGCTCGGCCACCCTGCCATGGCTTAGCACCATGCGGAAAACCCACCAAACACTTCTTCAGTCCAGCTTCCTGACTGCCTCCATCTCCAGTGGCCGTTCCTCCACTTCTGATGGGGTTCCACCTCGGATCTTGTCATCGCCAGAACTGCTCCAACTCCCACAGCACCAGTCCAAACACCTGATAATAAAGCCTCCTCTCCTCCTTTCAGGAGATTTGTTCAACCCACTGCAACCTGTCTTAGCCCTGTCTGGAACCCCAGTCCACTGACTGCTCATTTTTCTGCAACTCACAGCTCCTTCCTTCGTTCGCTTTCCTCCAGCTTCAGTTCAGATCCCATGGCCTTATCCTCTCAACAGCACTGCTATCAGCATGCCGGCGTCCCCGCTGCTGCCCGCACCCTGCAGCCCCTTACTGTCTTTTCATCTCACCTGTTGGTCAAGACCCCAAAACTGGCTTAAGCCTAACCATCCCATTCCCCCTGCCCACGTTCGAGAAGCCGGCGGACTAACCATAATCACCAGCCACGTAACATTTCTGGGAATTATATTTCTATCTCTACTTAGCTCACCTGCCTTCTCTCTAGAGCCACTAGTTTGAAACCTCCCCATTTTCCTCCAACTGTCAATACCCACCCCCACTCAATCTCAGCAGATGATCTCTACCTCTCCACACAAAAATTGAAGTCATTTGGTATAAAATCTTTCATCTTCCTGGTCCCAAACATGCAAACCTACAGAGTTACATCCTCTCTTCCTCTCTTCTTTATAGCAGAGGAACTACTGTTCCTCCTAATCCCAATGCTTGTGCTTTGAATTTGAGACCCATCTCCTCCAAAAGTCTGAGGAACCTCACCCTTTTTTCATATATACATATTAATACATATATATATATATATTTTTTTTTTTTTTTCCCCATCTCTTTCCCTTAGCAAAGTCAAGCCTGAGGGCTTTCAAATGCCCTCAGCCAATTTAAAACTCCTCACTGGACTCACATCTTCACCACTCACCCAGCTGCAGCAGCTGGACACCCACAGTCAATCCCAACACCTTGTCCACATTTGATCCACCCGAGTCCTGCCATTTCACTATACTATCCTTATACTTCTTTCTGTATGTATGTTACATCCTCTAACCCAAGGACTTGCATGTGCATTCCTGGAATGGCCTTGAACTGTTCCTCTCACATCTGCTCTGGACCTGCAGCCTACTCTCCACCTGCAACCAGAGCCCCCACGGGCTGCCTGGGGTGCCTTCCTCTTGCCGGGCTCCTTTCCCATATGAACTGCACCTGCTACCAAAAAGGGGCTTCTCTTGATCTCTCTCTTTACAAATTAAAAAGCAAAGAGGCTAAAAAAAATTCTAAAAAGTATTCCACAAGTATCACCCAGAATAAACAAATGTTAATATTTTGTCATACTTGCTTTAGGTATGTTGTTGATTTTTCTTTAATTTTTAAGTTCTGGGGTGCATATAGATATTTTTTCAATAAGAAATAAGACACCAGAAAGTTAGTTTCTCCTTTGTTCTCTCTTCACTTCTATCTCTTTCCTCCCTCCCCGGAGGCAATAATGATCATGAATTGAGTATATTTCCTTCTAGTCTATAAGCTTTTAAAAACAAACTCTTATTATAGAAATTACAACATATAGTATTGTTTGGTCTAAGTTTTTCATCTGTTACCTGAACTGGATTATAACGTGTATAAATTTCTGATAAGTTGCAATGCTCCCTCCTCAGAGAAGCCTGACCTCCACACACAGTCAAATCTAACCGCAGTCCACAAAAGACCTGTGCCTTTCCTGAGGGCATTTTTCTCAGCTGCAGTCTTGCTCACAAGGTTCTATAATCACCATGGCCCCCCCATTCTTAAACTCTTAAGAGGGAGTTTATGCTCGGCACTAGTTCCTTGGTCCCCGCATGGTGCCTGCCTGGCACACAGTGGATACCCAGTAATTAATCTGTAGGATGAAAACTTAAGAGCTTCCCTGCTCCTTTGCTCTTTATTCTTCTGCAGAAACTCAAATTGTGTACATGAGCTCTCTCGTGTGTCTTCTACAACTACCACATCTCGCCCATCATTTTCATATTTTCAATCCTTATAAATCCTTTTAAGTGGTTTCCTTAAGGCTATCACATGTTCCTATATCATGTATTATTATGTTTATTGTCTTGGTTACTTCTGAGGCCAGGGACCCAGGAAATGAGGTAACAATTCGTAGCTCGGATTCAGATTTGACGCCTCAAATGCTCACCAAGTGATCTCCTTTGACTTACATGCTTCAGGGTCTGTTTTTCGAGTACAGTGGATGTCGTAACACAGAGTAAAGCCCCCAAGGTCACAGACTTTCTACATCACAACTTGCTCATCACTGCTTCCCCTCCCCCTGCTAAGACAGCTCCCATTCGGCCATCTTCCTGGCAACCAGAGAAAGCTGTGGTGTCACTCGTGCTCCTTCTGTCGGGCAGTTCTTCAGTCAGCAACAGAATCCCTGGAGAGACATGCTCGGCTTCTGTTACGGCTGTCACACCCCTAGATATCAAGGCTCTAGTTAATCTCTGGGTGGGCCTTCTTGGCCTAAGGTGGAAAAGTATTTAGAGCTTGGGTTCATCTTCAGTTTAGTTTACATTTCAAGGCAAATAATTCTAAGTCTTTTGATTTTTGGAAGGGTACGGGAAAGGATACTGTGGCCAATTTCTTCCTTCTCAGAAGAAGGAATTTTTCTGTTTGCTGTTTTCGGTGGGTTTCCAGACAAGGGTGTTGTGTGAAACATAATTTGATTGCCAATTCAATTGCTATTCTCTCCTTCCTTCCTAATAGAAACACTGATTTTGTTTGGGCTCCCCTAGTCCTCAGAACACACCACTGCCCTGATCCTTCTAGCACATTATAGCCCATAATTTTAAAACACTGACAGTTTCCAGTTTTTTCATCTGTGAGAAAAGAGATGCAGATAATTGACAGCAATGCCAAAACTAAACTCTAAGCCTTTCTAAAACTAACTAGCTGGGAATGTTGGTAAGTCACTTAGCCTAGGCTTCCACTATCACACAGGCTCACCAATGGCACAGAAACCAGCTGACCAGGAAGGCGTGGTTCACATGCCTGATGCTCCTCACCCTGCTGCCCTGCCACTACAGGATAAAGGGCCAGCAAAGACAGCTTGTGAAGCAAAGCATATTCTGTCTTCTTAAACTTCTGGTTTAGTTACCCATAAAGAGAGAAAAATAATAATTTGCTTGTTGCTTTTTTCCACAACTTTTCAAGATAAAGATTTTTTTGACATAAGAAACAGATAGTGGGCAAGTGTGGTAGCTAATGCCTACAATCTCAGCACTTTGGGAGGCCAAGGCGGGAGGATCACTGAGCCCAGGAGTTCAAGACCAGCCTGGGCAACACAGTGAGACTCTGACTCTACAAAAAAATTTTTAAAAATTAGCCAGGTGTGGTGGCACACGCCTGTAGACCTAGTGACTAGGGAGGCTGAGGCAGGAGGATCGCTTGAGCCCAGGAGGTTGAGACTACAGGAAGCCGTCAACACACCACTGCATTTCAGTCTAGGTGACAGAGCAAAACCCTGTCTCAAAAAAGAAAATAAATATATAGTATTATATATAGTATTTCAAAATACAACCATTTTACACACTTAGGTCTTTTATACAGAATAATTTCTAACTCATTAAAATGATTTCTTGCAATATGCCAGATATAATATGTCTCATTCCCAGCCACATTCTTCCTTCTCTACTTCTACTCCAGAGGCTGGAAAGCTCAACATGTGAATTCCCAGCCTCCATGACAACAGTGAGGCCATGCAACAGGTCTGGTCAACAAGAGGCAGGGGAAATTTGCTGGGTGGGGTTGCCGGGAGAGCTCCTATTGCTCTGATAAAAAGGTCTGGACTTAGCTGGTAAGGTCTGTTTCCCCTTTTCTTCCTGCTTAGAAAGTGAGAGTGGTATCTGCAGGTGCTGCAGCCATCCTTAAAGAGGACACAGTAAATGTTAAGCAAGAATGCATGCACCCCACCTACAAGGACACAGTTTTCTTTATTATTTCATAACCTGTCACATTATGTAATCATCTATGCATATGCCCTAATGAATCTAAGGTGTACTTACGATAATGAACACTATCAGACATTATGGAAAACAAGAGAATTTCAAGTTATAGTCCTTGGCTCATGAAGCTTTCAGTCTCATTAGGGCAACCTGAGAAAAGAGTCTCTGTTTAAATGTTAAATCATATAGTTCTAATTGTAACTGCTAAAAAGGGTTCAAAGAAGGTATAGATAAACATAGGCTAAAAGTTCAAACTGTCAGATAAAGCTTTCTAGAGAAAAATAAAACCTGAAAGTAAGCCTTAAATAGGCATAGAAAGTGGAGGAGGGGGCATTTCCACCAGGAAAGAAGAATGTGAACAGAGGTTAAAAGCACAGGGCACATTCAGTGTATGTGAGAAGACAGGAGGTCTCTTTTTAGGATAAAATAAAAATAGGTCTACTCCTGCCCAAACTATTTACAAGTCCTCAAATGTGCCAGGTTCCTTAACTAACCCTTAACTCATCTTTTTAAGATTCAGCTTCCTCACTGGAAGTGCCTCCCAGACAACTCAGCAAGCTTCTCTGCTAGCACCTAGCCCTCGGGGGTGTTAGCATTCACCATGCCTAGTCCCACCAGACTCTGAGTGTCTTGTTGCTCTTCAACGCTCCCTGAGCCATGCAAGGTCCCCAGCACATTCTAGGTATTATAAAAATGGCTGATGACAGATGGTTCACTAACGTAGGACCATATTTTGATTCTACTTCTGAGCCATTCTGCCATAAGATGAACTATTCTACAAGTAAAGAATGAACTAGGTTAACATTTGTCAAAAATGTCCTCCAACTTAAAAACAATTGAGAATTTTTAAAATGCGGATTTCAGAGAAACACATGTAATCTAATACCAGATGGAAAGACTCTGATTCAAGATCACCACCACCGCCCCCCACAACACGCACACACAAGCAATACTTTCAGGGATCATTTCTATAATTCATTACTAGAGAAGTTTATCGGAATGGGTATGCCAACGTTGTTTGCAAAACAAGGAAACACAGGCTTACTTTTTTTAAAAAAGAAAGAAACAAAGAAAGAAAGAAAAATTCCTCCCCACTGCTTCTGACCATAAGCATTTTATGCAGATCCTCTTCAAAAGCGTCAATGTTGCAGTCGGGCTTCTCCAAGTCCTCCAGAACCTCCTGCAGCATGAACTGGTAGTACTGCTTCATCAACAGGCCTCCCTTCAGGACCTCCTTACACTCTCTCACCAGCTGCAAAACAACACGCACAGGTTCCAGCAGCCATCAACTCCAACCAGACAGTCAGTGTTTTACATCTTCCTACTTAAATCTTCAAGACACTCAGAAGGAACCTTGTCTCTAAAAACCCTACAATAGTTTCTAGATTCTTGATCGGTTCATTTTATGTAAATACCTTAGTAGTCTCAATTGAGTAGCAACAAAATAGTGAAAATAAAATAATTTAACACTGCAGCATGGATACACAGAGAAAATGTCATATAGGTAATTACTGCTTTGCTAAAATAAATTCTCTTACCAACAAACTTAGATAGAAAGTAAATCCCATAGAATAAAATCAATTTTTCTACGAATTCACATTAAAAGAAATGTGAAAAAACTCCTAATGAAATTGGAAAATTTTAATAAAAAACATAATAAAGATTCAAAGGTACTTATATACCACAAAGCAGGCGGCCTTCACAATAATTCAGCATAGTTTACATACTGCGATTTGTGGCCCAGTCTACCATCAAAAAATAACCAGCAAAACCAACCAACCAACTTAATATTATGTGATGAAATCAGATAAAAATCAACGGAAAAAACAAAGGATAGGCAATTTTGCAATATATAGATCGAATAGGTAAATAGGTAATAACCTGCCAAATGTTGGCAGAAGGTTTAAATGAGACAACCTGGAAAGCCCTTCCCATTAATAAAAAGACTGAGACACGACGTACGCAAATTCTAATGAACAGGGACTATAGTATGAGATCACACAGTCACGTTCGTTTTCATACACGTTAGCGAAACCTTCACTGCTGCTAATAGAAAGGTAAACTGATACAAACTTTCTAAAGTCTAAAAATGTATGACTCATCTATTTACTGTTATGTTTTACACTTAAGAAATAATCAGAGATCTAAACTAAGATTTCTATACAAGCATATTTATCACAATGTTATTTAAATCAATGGTGATTAACCAAATAAACTGTGATGTGCCTATACAGTAGACTACTATTGCAGCTATTTAAATTCTTGCTTTTGAAAAATACTTAAAGGGAAAAAAATCGCACACACACATACTTACTTGTATGTGTAGGAAGTTATGTGCAGGAAAAACAAATGGATGGAAATACACCAAAATGTTATAGCAGTTATCTCTGAATGTCAGAATAACAGGTTTTTAAAATTATTTTTGATTTTGATTTTTGTTTGTATCATCTTTTAGACTTTTCTAAATTTCTAAAATAAACACAGATTGCTTTTATTGACAGAAGTCTCTCCCAGAAATGTTTTAAAAGTAATTATCCACTGTAAGAGAGCTATGGCTACAGTAAAATCTAACAAAAAGTGTTCTGTTCAGATTATATAATTATCAATTTATCTATTAAAGATGTCACTTAGGTGCTTATAACTGATCTTTGAATGCATTTAAACCAAAATTTCTACTTTCTTTTTACTCTAGCAATGCTACATTAATCTAAGTATTGTTTTTATTTTTCAAAGTATTACAACATACATTACTATTTAGTCCTCACAATAGCCCCATGAGCAAAAGACAAACTCCACCTTGCTTTACCAGGCTGTATTTCTGAAGTAAAGCAGGCTATATTTCTGAAGTATTTCTTTTATAGAGAAGGGAGCTGAGAAGTTTTTTATCAAAATGTCCTAGATAACCACTGCGACGCTGAGGATGAGTTAAAAGCAAGGGCCAAGTGGACAGCAAGACAATAACCAGAAACAAGATGGTGAGAAGGACGGGGAGCTAATGTGGAAACAGAGCTCTGGTTGGTGCTGGGTATGAACCGAAGGGATGGAAATGAGACACAGGAGACAATCTCCAAATGACTTTCATTCGTCATTCTATTCTACTCCTAATTAAACAAACAAATCCTATTTTGTACCTAGTGTATGACCTGTATTCACCTGCCTTCCCTCAATCTGTACTGCTCACCTATGCTCTGTCTCATCATTCACAGAGCCGGGGAGCTCTTAGCCCTTCAATCCCTATGGGACAGACACGTACAATCTACAAAAAACATACCAATCTTTCTTCTTTTGGGGACAAGGTCTGGAAATTTTTATTTTATATGGCGAATGTCAATATGTTAATATCACAAATCATAAATACAGACCCTCTTCAGCACTCACTCTGCTGGATACAACTGCTTCCACCCATTCCTCTGCCGCTCCTGGGATAGCAAACACCCGTAAGACCCCACCCAGAATGAACAACAACGAAGAAATCATAAGCTGTCACTACTGTTTAAACCACACCACTGCTTAAGCAAGCAAAAAGTCCAAACCCCTCCCCTATGCCTATTCTAGACATTTATCTATTTATATGTACTTCAAATAGAAAAAAAAATAAATTTAAGAATCTTATACTCTACCTCTAACGAATGAATTTTAAATTTTAGTCTTCAAAGACTGAAACTTTAAAACACTTAGAACAAGGAAGTGGATGACAGAAAGGATGAGCCACAATCTTATCTTTGAGGACCGTACATAAAGAACATTTTTAATTAGCCTAAAAAACACGGCTTAAAACCATGGACATTCATTTCTCACTATTTGCGACAATTAAGAAAAAAAAGGAACTCTTAAAATAAAAATGGTAAGCCTGTAGGATAATAATTGCTAAATATTTTAAAGAGTCTTTGAAGCAAACCTGCTTAATACTCAAGAGAGATGGTTCTCCAGCAGGTCTTTGCTCCAGTCTTAACTTCAGACACTCATGGATGACATTCAGAAGGACTCGGCAGAGAACTAGGAAGGCAGGTTCGAATGAAGGTAAATCCATGGCCTTCAGCTCCTCCCACGACACAGCGCTGCATTTCTGCTCAGATGAAGGCGGTGTCCTTGACAACTGCACATAATCTGAACCCCACATGGGATCTGGAAATTCAGAAAACTATAACAAAAATTCAACAGGCACAGATTAAAAGAGCATACAAGACAATGTCCTATGGTTGTGGTTACAAACTATGATTCTCTACAACGTGCTAATGAATCTACAAAATTCTAATTTTACAGGGAAAAAAATATTTAATAATCTAATGAATTCAATAATTCAACATTTTCAACATAGATCCTAAAAGTTCTAAGAATGCTGGAAACTATAATGAGAACTAAAACCAAATTGCAATACTTTTATCAAAAAAGTATATTAGAAAAAGAATCAGGTTCATCTTTAACATTTTTGCATCACACTCGAAATGATCAGAACACTTTATTTTTAAGGTTATATACAGCGCTATCCAAAACTATCTCTAGACTGGATAAAAAAACCACAAAATTACTAAAATTAGAAAAAACATTACAAAATCAAGTAACAGCTCATCCTACGTAGGCATTTATGAAAAACAAAAACTAATCAGTTCCACTAGTTCTTCTGTTCATTTGTTCTCCTGAGCTGTCCTGAACGACGCTGACAGAAAAATAAAAAAATTGTTAAGATCAACCTGGTTGGCACGACTCAGTTATCTGTTGATGTTTCCTGGGAACCCTAGTGTTGCATTGTTCCCTACTCCACCACCACTCCCCCGGTTCTTTTAGCTGTTCCTCTCAAATTCCTTACACCTTTCCCCATAAAGTAGGGGATCTGGAGTGTTGGGAGTGCTCTCTCTCCACCTGGCCACTCCTCCCTGGCTCCCCAAGGCCCCTGCTTCTCCTCCCTTTGGTCCTCACCCACCTTCTCCCTGCTCCATGGAAACTGTTTATTCCCTCCCCATCATTCCCCACCAGAACCCCTACTCCCTGCCATGAGAGTATTTCACATTCCACCATAACTTGGTGACACAACTTCCTGAGGGCAAGGACTTTCACTTCCTTAACACTATACTACCAAGGACCGTCCCCACGCCTGGCACTGATTACAGCAGGCAGTAACTGTTGCTGCGTTCATGAATGATATCCTCATCTGACACTTCCAAGTGCTGCCCCCGACCTGCCCGTCTACCAAATATGGCCCAAACAACTTGAGCTACTATGGAAGATCCTCCTTTATGCAGTCTCACCCTCCAGCGCTGCCTTCTTTCCTGCCTCCACCTGACACGTTCAACCAACCCTCACACACGTGTGCCGTCACCAATCTCGCTGCCCATGCTTCCTCCCCACCTGGAAATGCTCACCTCTTTATTTTCCACTTCAAAATCCTTAGTTTTCAAGGTTCGCCTCATGATACCTTTCCAGTGACTTTCTTCTCGCCCCCAACAGCGTGCCAACTAGAACACTCTAAACCCTGAGTTTACCTTGACTTTCATGATAGAGACTGTGTGGCTTAATGAGAAAACAACCAAGATCCAAAAATCAGAAAAGCTGGTTCCGAGTCAATTAGCGATGTGATTCTGGAAGCACTGAGTAGTCTCTCAGGGCTGGTTTCTTCATTTTAAAAACAGAGCTATCATCTACTTCTTACCAAGATTAAACAGCATGCTGTACATATGGGAAAAACACTTTAAAAACATACTACATATAACGTTTGTAAAATCACCACTGTTAACATGTTGGTCTCTCCTACTGGACCATTAGTTGCTTTACAGCAAATACAAGCAGCCATATCTTAAGTCAGGTTTGCACAAACTCCCACAACAGGACTCAACGAATCACAAAGAGCCTCAGCTGCAGAGTGGACTAATTTTTATGGCTATTATCTTCTTCAGGATGGTTCCCTGTTTCCGTGTTTTTCGCATTTCCAACAGACAGCTTGGCTTTCACTAATTAATGCCCATTCATGGCCTTCCACACTTTTCTTTCCTTGAACCATACATGCAGATGTTTAACATGCTTTATCAATTCTACTAAATAGTCCTCAAATCCATCTTCTCCTCTACACTCTAACTGCCTTAACTCACAGTGGATCTTCAACTGTTTTTCTGATTACAACACGTCAATCTACGGACCTCCCAATAACTCACAAAGTGATTTTGTTCGAAGGCTTGTCTTAGCCCTTCTAATGTAAAATGCAATGCTTCACTGACAGCCCTAAGTGTGAGACACTTTATTTAGCCTAATGGCCTGGTCCCTGCATAGATCTTGATCCTTATCTCCTGCCACCACCTTTGTCTCCTTTACCCATAACAAACATGCCTCTGTGCTTTTGCACAAATTAATCCCTTTCATTATCAGAAGTTCTGATCTGCTGACAGTGTCCTGTCCCTGGTGAACTCTTCCTTTCATTAGGAAGAAGCCCAGATGCCACCCTCCTCTATGAAGTTTTCCGTGACTGCCTCAAATAACTCATTTAATCTCTCCCGTTTCTCACAGTATTTGTGCCTTGCAAATGCTTCCTCCATTGTATTTATCATGCTTTACTGTAATGCATTATTTTATCTATTTACCCATTAGATCATCATTTCCATGAAAAAGATTGTTTATCTCCAGTTAACTACGGGTCTCTAAAACTTAGCTCGGTACCTGCCTCGTAATAGATGCTGAACAAATGTTTGATGAATAAATTAATAGGTAAACACTCCTATAAAAGTGCCAGTGTCTCTTCTTCCCCAGCTATTAACAATCTAACACTAAAGAATGGAACATATGATATCATCAACCTTGTTAACAAGTTCTTAGTCCTCAAATTCCCTGTTGTACTGCTTAATGCCAACAGTAATTATTATAGTGATAGGCTGACAAGCTCTACAGTTTTAAAAGTGGATGCTTTGATTTTCAAAAAAATAACATATACACTTGGCATAACTGAGATACATTTAACGACAGAAATGAGGATATGCCTTCTTCTTAGTATAAAATTCCTATAAAAATTAAATGCCTGAAAACAAAAATTCTTCTGTTTCTTAAAACATAGACTTTTAATCTACTATAACCTGACATGAAGTAACGTTAGTACATAAGCACTAAAATATAAAGTTGGTAGAACATACTGAGTGTTTCCACGTAGTAATCTGCATTAGCACTAAAGAAAACAAGATTAATTTATCCTTCTACATCTAATACATACTTCTGCACTTAAATTAGTACACACTTGGGTTTCCCTAACAGGCAAGAATTTCTAAAATAGCCACTAAAATAATTACTTGTGACAAATGTGGTCAGGGTTGTGAAAGGAAAATAAATCTTGGAGCCCTCAAATCATTAAGCTAAAGGCAAAAGTCAAGCTGGGAACTGCTTAGGGCAAACCTGCCTCCCACCCTATTCCCTCTGCTCACTGAGATCGATGCATATCTGATTGCCTCTTTTGGAAAGGCTAATTAGAAATTCAAAAGAATGCAACGTTTTGTCTCTCACCTACCTGTGACCTGCAAGAACCATCCCTGCTTCGAGTTGTCCTGCCTTTCTGGATGGAATCAATGTACATCTTACATATACTGATTAATGTCTCATGTCTCCCTAAAATGTATAAAACCAAGTTGTGCCCCAACCACCTTGGGCACATGTCGTCCGGATGTCCTGAGGCTGTGTCACAGGCATGCTCTCGTCTTTAACCCTGGCAAAATAAACTTTCTAAAGTAACAGACCTGTCTCAGATATTCAGGGTTCACAGCTTAAGGTATGCCTAAGTAAAGGCTTTGGACAATATAAATGCTTCCCTCCACCGCCTTCGGTATAATGACATCAGAAAACAATGTTTTATACAACTCAGCAAACTTTCTAAGATAAAATTCTAAACAATTCTTTTGGGATTCCAAGCAGTCCCAGCCTGCTGACTTTCTTTACAGGCTCGCTGAGCCAAAGGCAGGATCCCTAGTTTTCAAAAAGTGCAAGACCACATTGCCTGGGAGAGCCAACGGCCAGACCTCCAGTGACGGAGGAAACCCCTTCCTGCTGGAGGTGCCTGGTATGTCAATACATGTCCAAACAGAGAGGAGCAGATGGTTCAAAAATTCAGCACTTCAGAGGAAACAGCAATTTCCTTAAGAGGAGACCAAAGGGAAGAATCAGAACAGCTGGGTTCAATTAATACCGATTTAATGTAGAAAATAGGAGAGAACAATAAAAATACTCTAATACGAGATCTCATTAAAGTCCTCTAGAAAATAATAAATTAAGACTTCTGAAATAAACTCAAGAAAGACAGTGAAAATAGAATGAACACGGCTAAAACTGATTTAATAATCTAGAATTAACTGCAGAAATTACTACTATAACTCAGCAAAAAAAAAAAAAAAAAAAAAAGATGAAATGGAAACTTTGAGTAAAAACAAGAGACATGGAAGTCAGATCCAAGGGCTCAAACATAAGAACAATCGGAAAAGGGGAGAAAAGCATTTGGTATAGTCAAAATATCACTAAGACTTCGTGAAGGAGCAGTGGCCTCTGAATAGGGACAAACTCAAAGTACAATTCATTTACCTCCTCTGAAAAACTATTCGAAGTATGGCTATGGTAGAGTCTAGTTAAATGACAACTAGACTGAAATAAAAAAATCACAAGATAGGGAAAGAAAAACAGCAAACGAAGTGAAAAGCCGTAAATTTAACAAAACTTTTTAGGTTGTGCATCCCTAATCTGAAAACCCCAAATCCGAAATGCTCCAAAATCCAAAACTTTTTCAGCACTGACATGTTTGGGATGCTCAACTGGTATCCATTCTTGCAAATACTCTAAAAACCAAAAAACCCTGAAGTCCAAAACACTTCTGGTCCCAAGCATATCGGATAACGGATTTTCAATCTCTATAGGCAGATATAACTATATGATGATAATTTGGATATTGGCTATAATTTGAGTTCTAGAATGAAATATTAAAAACACAATTTTAAGTACACTATAAAGAAAAGACCTGGATCTTGCATTCCAAATTATTACAATAAAACCCACGAGCGCAGAAAGGTACAGTGCAGTGCAGGAACACGTATCTGTCATCATCTTATTCCAGTGAAGAGTACAGGATCACACACGGTGGAAAACCCCAGATCAAGCCCAGCCACACTGGGAAGATTCAATAATATAAGGACATGTATAAAAATGCATAGTAAATTCTTATAATTTTATGTTGCCTTGGCATGCACTTTGAATCTAAGTGGCACCTTCTCATAGCAGAAGCAGGGCTCTGTCACCCTTGACATAGGGTGTAGTTCTACACTGCCTCCCAGTTTCTCAACGCGGCTGATCCAGATACCTGCCTTATACAACTTCCTCCTGGTGACCACCTCCCTATGGACAGCTACACAGCCTGCTTCACTGGATCTGACCCTCCTACCTCTCATGGACAGTGCAGACACAGCACTGTGACTACCTCAGTAACAGCATGACCTCCTGGAACTTGTGCTTGCTTGCTTTAAACCCACCAATTAAACCTCCCGGAGGGAAACCTGTTTGGACAATACCTTGGACTCTATGAAGGCGCTGGCCCATGGGTCCCTCCCTCTACCCCTGCTTGCATTTCCTGATCTCTGCGTGAGCAGCCTCTAGGTGTGCCGTGTACCCTCCAGAACCTGCAAGTAATAAAATCTTTATTTCCATCTTGTATCTCTTCTAATCATTGAAAGGGTGCTCTCCATCTTAGAGATTCAATATTAAGACTAAGAAATGTAATTACAATAATAATTCTGATGTCATGCTGTGTGGATCTGACAAATCCACAATAAAGTCCATGTGGAAGAAAGTAATGTGCAAAAATAAAAACAGCACAGAAACTTCTGGAAAGAAAGAATGGGCAAAACTGTCCTACAAGACACCAAACCTTACTAATAAGTCTACTCTATTTAAAATAGAAAAATCCTGCACAGTAATAAACAGATCAGAACACAGAAACATACCCAATTATCTATAATTTAATGTTAAAAAAAGGAGGCAGCAGTTTAAAGAAGTTGGAAAATAATGGGTTATCTAATATATGTTATAAGCAATTAACAGAAAAATGACATGCTTACCTCATACTATACCTCACAGTATCATAAGTAGCATTCATTTCTAAAATTATGTATTTTAGAAATTCTTACTGGTTATTATGGGAAATCAAAGTATGTATTAAACACAAAAATACACGCTGAACAATACATTTGGAAAAAGAAATTCCCAATGTAGTAAAATCTAAAGATAGAGTTCTGCATTAGGTTAAACTATATAAAAATTCCCAGTTTCGATCATTGAAAATGATCAAATATTGGCAATTTAGTACAGGTCAAACTGAAAAAAAGAATTATGGGGAAAAGTGGTGGTAACAGGGTTTCAATTCCCCTTCAACGTCCTCTCATAAAAATGGAGCAATGAGGACAGCAAAACCAAAACTCTGTGAGAAAAACTTTCAACAAAACTAGATGAAAAGCGGTCTTCATGACTCCCCAAAGAGAAGAGGTGGCGGGAAAACCACGAACAATTCCAAGCGCCATGTGGTATCAGCATGAGTGGAGGGAAGCAGAGGAAATTAACAGGGTGTCTGATGGGCGTAAAGGGGCAGATTCCCAAGTCATGATGAGTGCTCTATGAAAAGCTCACAGAGTCTACAGGGAACTTCTGTGAAATTAGGACTTATTTTGGCACTATTCATGAGTGAAGGCAAGGAGTTGGCAGTAAGGTCTGAAAGGGCTGGAGTGGTTTAGGCCCCATAATATCTTAAAACTAGTATCCAAAATTCCCTTCCAGGAATTCTGGGCTCCACACCAAGAAAAAAACTGCTCAACTGAAATCCAACTCCCCAGTAAAGGATAATAGGAGGAAAGGGAAGAGGAGATCGAGAACATGGGAAGAACAGTCCACAGACCTCAAACAGTAACAGACCTCAAACAGTAACAGAGAAGATGGTTTGAAACTTGAGAAGAAGGTACTGAGAGCTCCGATCCCAAACACTTTCCTAACTCCCTCTCTCCTTTAAATTCATGGTAACAAGTATCATGTTTAAAAATAAGCAACAGAAAAAAACTGTTGTAGAATCTAGCACAAGGTTATTATAAGCAGAGAGAGAAAAAGGAGAATAATCCTCCAGACAGTGAGCACTTGCCAGAAAGATATGTCCACTAAACAGATGAGAACTGTAGCCCGATTTCTGAAATAAGCTAAAAGAAATGAAGAAAATCATAAAAAATATAAAGAATGACATAAATTAGAATTTTTTTAAAAAACCCAGTGATAGAAAGAATTTAATTTTTAAATCAAAAATCAAGTCAATTTTATTTCCCAAATCAAAAACAAACTAGAAGGCACATAAGAGCAAATAAACAAAACAGGTAATACCTTCACAGAAATGAAGTCAACAAAAGAGAACTTTGTAACTCAAAAAGAAACTAAGAAAAAGAAAAGGTCTGAAATGAAGTGACAGAGAAGGCAGGCAAAGTAGATCCAAAATATATAAAGAGCCGTTCCCAAAGAGAATTGGGTCAGTGAAGCAAAAAAAAAATGTGAAACTGTAAGTTAAGAAACTCACGAGAAATTTAAAAACAGACTGACAAAAAAACAAAACTATGGATTAAAAGTATATACCATGTATCTGAAAATATCAAATTGGAAAAACCAACACCATGTAAAACCAGCAGAGTTTGAAGACCAAAAAAAAAAAAAAAAAAAAAAAAAACTTTAGGTATTCAGCAAACAAACAAAACAAAGGTCTTGTAAGTGGAAACAAAAAATCACATTGCCATCAGACCTTTCAACATCAATGCTTCCTGTCAAAAGACAATGAATAACAAATTGATCCAGGGAAAGAAAATATAAACCAAAGACTTTATGGACAGCCAAACAAACTTCCAAGCATAAATGTTGCAAACTGTTAGAAACATGGAAGAACTCAGGAAAGGCTGTCCTCCTGAGTCCTTACTTAGAAATCTACTAAAGAACAGGTGTCACTCAACCAGAATGACGCAAGAGACTGGGACATACTAATTAAAAATGAGCCTTCAAGCAAAATGCGAAACTTCTATCTACATGTCTATTATAAATATTTTATCTACACACATACACACAACCCTGAAGAACTGAGACTAAATGACAGCTATGAGGGAGAAAGTATTGTCATACATGGCTGTATGACCTGACAATATAGATATACCACACCACTAACATCTGGGGAAAAGGAAAGAGCATATGAAATGCCTTAGCATTTCACTGGCAGTAAAAGAAAATTACTTCAAATGAAAACTTGAGAAATAAAAGGATAATTCCAATAGCTCAAAGTTGGGAACTAAGAGATTAAAAAATTGAAGGGGGGATATTAAGGGTATTATGTAAAGATATTAATACAAAGACATCTTGGGGAAAATAAACTCATCTTAAACATTAAAAGTAAATAAATAAACAAAACTACATACTTCCAAAAAGCTTACACTAAGAAATAGAAGGATAAAACATAAAATGTTTTAAAAGATTATCCCTGTCAGAGAAGCTAAACTTCTTTGCGAATACATTTAGATTTTCTTGTAAAATCAAGTATTTTACATAATTGTAATAAAAAC